AACAAGATCACAGTGCTAAAAAAAAAAATCCAATGCTCAAGAGAGATAAGAACAAGATCATAGTACCAAAAAAAATCTAATACTTAAGAGAGGTAAAAACAAGATCACAGTTACAAGTAGTGTCAAAAAAAAAAAATCTAACACTCAAGTGAGGTAAGAACAAGATCACAGCACCAAAAAAAAAATCTAATGCTCAAGAGAGGTAAGAACAAGATCACAGTACCAAAAAAAAAAATTCAACGCTTAAGAGAGATAAAAACAAGATTGCAATTATAAGCAGTGCCAAAGAAATAGCCAACACTTAAGAGAGGTAAGAGCAAGATCAAAGCTATAAGCAGCACCAAAGAAAAGTGCAAATGCTTAAAAAAGGTAAGACCAGAGTTATAAGCAATGCCAAAAAAAGAGCCAACATTTAAAGGAAATAAGAGCAAAAAATTATATTACTGTATAATGTTGAAATCCAAAAAATTAGTTAGCACTACCAATGCTGAATGCAATGTAGAGCCAATGTTGAATGTGAAAGTCAATGTTGAATATGAAAGCCAATTTCAAATGCAAAAGCCAATGTCAAATGCAAAAGCCAATATCAAATGTGAAAGCCAATGTCAAATGTGAAAGCTAATATTAAATGCGAAAACCAATATCAAATGCGAAAGCCAATGTCGAATGCAAAAGCCAATATAGAATGAGAAAGTCAATGTCAAATGCGAAAGCCAATATGAGCCATAAAGCCAACTTTCAAGCAATAAAAAAAAAAAATACAAGAATAAAGCAAAAGGCTTTTTTATACCCTTACTCATAATTATATTATAATTACGCTATTTCGTTATTACATAATAAGGTTAATTTGAAGAAACTTTTTTTTTTTTTTTACAGATTTTTGAAGATCATATTGCGTCGGATCTAATCTGACGCATGTCAGGTGACCGATCAACAGATGACGTGCGAGTAATATAATAGTGGGCTTTTTAGGACAATTTGGGTGTATTTTTAAAAAACGCTTCCGTTTTTCTATAGATTTCAGTCTTTTTTCTATGTTTCTGATAAACTTATATAAAATCTATATACAGTATGTTTTTTATATATGACACCTTGTAGTATATTTTTTGATATCTATTTTGATTTTTTTTGGTACTATGATCTTGTTCTTATCTCTCTTGAGCATTGGATTTTTTTTTTTAGCACTGTGATCTTGTT